ACAAGTAAATGATCTCATACTCCCATCTCTTTGACAACTTGCACATTTTGTTGTGATCCACACAAAAGCTTTAGTGTAGTCAACAACGCAGAAATAGATGTTTTTCTGAAACTCCCTTGCTTTTCTCTGTAATCCAGCAAATGTTGGCAATGTGGTCTCTCCTTCCTCTGCCTCTTCAAAAACCAGCCTGCTCTTCTGGTAATTCTCTATTCACATATTGCTAAAGCTAAGCATAACCTTGCAGGTATGTGAAATGAGCACAACTATTCAGCAATTCAAACATTACTTGGCACTGCCCTTCTTTATGACTAGGAACATAAACTGATCTTTCCCAATCCAGTGGCCACTGTTGTGTTTTCCAAATTTGCTGGCATATTGAATACAGCACTTTAACAGCATCATCTCTTAAGGGTATTTTTGCTTGTATTTTTATCTCTAGTGCTTAGCAAAATGCCTGGTACATAATGAGTGCTTAATAAATGCTTTTTGACTGACTCATCAGCCACATTAATATAAATTTATTAATTATCTGCTTTGTACCCACTTCTATGCTAAACAATAAAGAAAACACACACACACAAAGTAGAAGATATTGTCCTGTCTTTAAAGGACTCAAAATCTAAATAAAGGGCAAAAATAAATGTGAAACAGAGAATACTTTTCCAAGTCTAAACTATGTGATATTTACTCTAAATCCAAGTTCAGTGGAAGGACAAATTAATATGGAGAGGAGTTAGAAAAACATCATAGAGGCAACAGTGCTTACTTGATATTGAAGAAAGAGTAGAATTTTGAAAAGCAAAGAGGAGAAAGGATGACACAATAGCATTAACAAGGCAGAAGTGAATGAACATATCACATTCCTGAGACCATCACAGAATGAGTAGAACTGCCCTGACAGAAACAGATGACCTGTGCTAAAGTTAAGAAATAAAGGGTAAAAAAATAAAGCTTGATATGTACGATAGAGTCAAATTAGAGATGGCTTTTAAAGGCAGGTAAAAGAGTTTGGACTTGACATGGTAGTCAATAAAGAAGATTCTTCAGCAGAAAACTACAAAATTAGCTAGATACTGTTTATGCAAAAACTTCCAATTAGAACCGACCAAAAGTAGAAAGGGCTGCCTCTGAAGGTAATGAATTCCCTACTCCTGAAGGTCTTCAAGCAGATGCTGGAAAACATCCAATAATCAGGGATATTATAGAGGTGATTACTGTTCAGGTATGGGTTAGATTATATGCCCTCTCGGAGTCCCTTCCAAGTCTAATTTTATACTATGCTATGAAATGTAGTTAGGTTCCTTGTTTCTGCCACATCATAAAGTTAAATTCCCTTTAGGGTAGGAACCACACCTCCTCCCAACACCGTGTTGAGTCCATCAAAAGCTAGTCTTTCTGCATTTATGTGTGTAAGGATCTTTATTCTTCCAAGTTCCAGGTTAAAAACTCATTTGTTGTTCAGGCTCTCTATTAAAATATATCCATTCTTTCCTAAAATGCCATTTTTTATTCTTCGCCAACATGAAAACACAAGCAAAATAGTTCTAAGTAATTGTAAAATAAGTCAAAAATTACATATACACATATACCATGACCAGCAATTGAGTAACAGGCAGATTTTGCTGCCTAGACTCTAATGTCAATTTCCAATAAAAAACATTCGCTCACACTTAAGTACACATATCCATGGCCAGATCTAGCTAATGTGTAAAATATACAGAACATACAAAACTAGAAATAACACTTATAAGGCTTCAAAGTATAAATATATTTCAAATTCATCCAAAATGTTTTAATATGCTATTTCCAATGTTGAATATTAAATTTGCTCTTTTACCAGATATTTGAGGTTAAGTATTTAAAAAAACAAGTGTTTTTCAAAAGACCTCCTAATGTAAGACATCCAGAATGTTTCAAGAATAACCCACTCCCTATTTAATAAAATGTACATGCTTCAAGTCACTAGAAGACAATTTTATGCTCCTGCATTTTATTTCCCCCTATCACTGAACAAAGCTTTAACAATTGGGTTGTTTCCCTGGAAAAAAAGTAACTAGCAAAAGGCTCCAATCATATTACAACAGAAATAATACTGTGGAGAACAATTTAGAGAAAAAGACAAAAGGATTTTCTTCCCATCGTCATTATATTTTTTTTAATATAAATTTATTTATTTTTAGTTTTCAACATTTACTTCCACAAGATTTTGAATTCCATATTTTCACCCCATCTTGCCCCTCCCCCACCCCAGGATGGCATGCATTCTGAATACCCCTTCTCCTAGTCTGCCTTCCCTTCTACCTCTCCCCTCCTCCTTCTCTTATCCCCTTCCCCTTCTATTTTCTTGTAGGGCAGGATAGATTTCTGTACCTCATTTCCTGTATTTCATATTTCCCAGTTGCATGTGGAAACATTTTTTTTAAACGTGTTTTTAAAACTTCAGGTTCCAAATTTTCTCCCTTCCTCCCACCCCACCCACCCTCATTGAAAAGGCAAGCAAGTCAATACAGGCCATACTTGTGCAGTTATGCAAAACACTTCCATAGTAGACATGTTGTGAAAAACTAACTCTATTTCCCTTAATCCTATCCTGCCCCCCCCCATTTATTCTATTCTTTCTTTTGACCCTGTCCCTGCTCAGAAGCATTTCCTTCTGATTACCCCTTTCCCAATCTGCCCTTCTCTCTATCATCCCCCTGCTCTCTTGTCCCCTTCCTCCCCTATTTTCCTGTAGAGTAAGACAGCCCATCATCATTATTTAAATTAAAACAGCACCCTACACTTTCACATCACTGAACCAAATAAATTTTCTAGGAAACATAATTCCAAAGTAGCAATAAAAATAGCGCTTAACAACAACTGAAGGCAACGTTATAATCATCTATTGGTCTAGTTCATTTGGACTAAATTTTCTTCAGACTAGCTGAGAAAACAATAAGAGTATGTCTGGCCTCATATTTCTCTCTATCCTCAACTAGTTATCAAGGAAAATAGGCAAAAGATGAAAAATGACAAAGTATAAGTCTATCCTTTTTGTGATTTATAACTCTCTCAAAGCTCTGAGATACAAAGGCAAAAGGGAGAGGGAGTGGCAAGAACCTGGTATTAAAGTGCCTGAACTTTGGGGTTAGTGGAAAAGGGGGAAAGAAAGAGAGGTATAATTAACAGTAAAGTTTCTGAGCAAGGCTGGGGTAGGGGAGAAGAGTATTGATTCTAAAGTTCCTATGTGAAGCCAGAAGGGAGCAATATTTCTACCTTCACTCCCCTGGGGCCTTAGAACACTGATAAACTACCACAGGGAGAGGGCTGTGGCAATGGCAACAAACTTAGTGATCTACCATGTAAGGTTTGGAAATTGCTACTATATTTTGAATCTTCTAGTAGGATAGATTTAACCAGTAGGATAAATCATTTCTGCTTCTGTATTAACTAATACGTAAATCTTACTGACAATTATAAGTCCATCATAACCTATACTCTCCTCACTGAAAGAGGCACTTCCTTTATTCCAAAAGTCTGCCCTGGTTAGACCACATCTGGAATATGTTCCTTTCTGGGCACTACATTTTGAGAAGGACACTGATAAACTGGAGTGTGGCCAGATATGAAGACCAGCTAAAGGAACTGAGGGTGGTTAGCCTAGAAAAGGAAATAGGAAAGAAAGAATATGTATTCAAATATCTGAAGGGGTGTCATGGGATATCAGGAGGAATTTGACTCATACTGCTTAAATCCAAATGGCAACTATAGGAGCAGATAATGCAAATTAGAAAGAGGCAAATTTAGGCTTGATTAAGGAAACTTCCTAACAATGAGAGCCATCAAAAAAAAAAGTGGAGTAAGTTACGTTGAAAAGTAGAAGGTTATGGGTCACCTAGGTGGCGCAGTAGAAAGAGCATCAGCTCTGGAGTTAGAAGGACCTGAGTTCAAATCCAGCCTCAGATGTTTGACACTTACTAGCTGTGTGACTCTGGGCAAGTCACTTAATCCCACTGTCTAGCCAACAAAAAAAAAAGCAGGTTACCATTCACTTGGGGTCCTCAAGTTAGCGGTGTTGCAAAAGGGATATTTTTCCAGGTACACTGTGAATTAGATGGCCTCTGTGTTTCTTCCATCTCTAAATTCTGTGACTTTTGGGAAAAAATTACAGCTGACTACAAGCTCATTTATGCTCACATACGTACTCACACACACACACACACACACACACACACACACACACGAGTTATCATCTTCAACACTGTATGATGATTATGCTGTTAGTGTTATTTTCATGAATGGCCATCACAAAAACTGATGCCTGGCCAGTTATATTCCCTAAAATCTGTACAAAAATATTGAGCCCACAGAAATACCTATTCCTATTCCTCAGGAAAACTTCCATTTTAACTTTCATTTTCAGCTCTCCAGGATTTAGTGGGAAATTGGGAGCTCCATAAATTTCAGTACTGAACAAGTAAATGCCACAGTTTAACACTTGTATTCAAGAGCTTCGTGCTTTTCTCAGGGGTTCAGCTCATTATGCTGCCACAGAATGAGCACTACATCAGAAGTCAGGAACCCTGAGCTCAAGTTCCAGCTCTGTCACTAACTTTTGGTATGACCTTGGGCAAGCTACAACCTTCCTAAGCTTGCTTATTCACATATGAACCAAAGGCACTGAAAGGTCTCATTCAAACCTATTATTCTTTCTTTGATCGATTCTCTTCTCCAGCATTTGACATTTTCAGGATTGGTAACGGGATGTTTCAGGATCATATGAAACTAAGTTTGCAGTCTGATACAAAGAGCTGTCACTGTATCTCATCTCGGTTTAATCTTTGTCTTATTTCAGAAATCAGAAATTTATATTGTGAAGTACTAAATGCCTGATTTATCTTTTGACTTTTTTTCAGTCTGTTCATTAAAATAACCACTGAAAGAAGGAAATTCTTTAAAAAGTCACACAATGCTTATGAAAGAATATGAAATATTTAAATGTAGAACTGTATAAAGCTTACCAGATTTAAGACCTGAAATTTTGAAGATGGCACTTGGTTTCCCATTCGTGACAAACCCCAAGAGCTGCCATACTGGCATTCCACTTGAATCAGGATATGAAAAGTAGACAGATCCTCCCATGCCATCAGGAAATGGGACTGTTCCCAGCATAAACACCACGACATGGTTGATACTTTGATAATCAGGTAAGTCAAATACAAATTTATCCTCTGCCACTTGCTGTGCAACTGTTTGCACCTAGAAAATAAAAAATTCTCAGATGAAAAAGTTTGTGAGGTTCTGCAACCTTTAACTATCCAATACAACACAATTAAGTGTGTCACCAGGTATAGTCAGAGCCAAAATATTCTGGCTAGTCTAGTATTCAGACTGATAGATTGGGTTAGCAATTTTCAAAGTACTATAACACAATAAAACATATTTAACACTAAAACTGCTCACTCCCACAAAAGCTTCTCTCTTTAACACCAATTTTCTTCCAATGATGCTATCACAAATTGCCAGTCTCAGAAGAATCAAAATCACAAGTAATGCATCTTCTTCTGGTAGATGTAGAAAATTACTAAGAATAACTTGTGTGAGAAGTAATCAACAACATCGAAGACATATAGGACCAGAAATGGAGATGGGTCAATCTTTTTAAAACAAGACTGAGACACAACAAATGGACAGCCAGAATGCTAGGATGGCACCCCCCAGATAGTAAGAAAACCTAAGAAAGACCCCCAGTGTATAGAGTAGATCCTCTGCGAAGAATTTAGGAGATAACGTGCATAAAAATCACACAGTTATGATGCCATAGGTGACTGCAATCTTTTCTCAGTTGAGGGATTACCCACAGCAATGAAATCATGGATTCATGTATCAGAATAATGCTAAAACTATAATGAACATAATTTAATGTCTTTGCCACTCTACAATCCCCTTATCACATCTTACCTAAAAAGTATCATCAACTTTGGAATGTAAAGCCAACTTTAATATTTATATTCTAGGAGGGGGTCTTCTGGTTATTTGTGTAGTGTCTGTGTGCTTGTTTTTGGAGCTCTGGTCTACAGAAAAAGAGGTAAGCATCACCTAGATTCTGCTAGATGAGGTGTGTGGCACTTGCCAAGTGTAGGCAAAGAAATGAATCTAACAGCCAGTTCTGAGGAGGGAGAAGTGGAGAGTATACGTAGGAAAAGAGGAAATGGTAGGATCTCATTTCGAAATTCAGGAAGTATTCTTTCATAAAGGATACAAACCACAGGAGATCATTCTGCAACTATGCAGACATAAATAGGTTGAATCAAAGCCTTGGTTTTTAAAGAATTAGCAGATTTGTAGGTAAGAGTATACTGTCTTACTATAACCTAAATTCTATGTAACTGATATTCATTAGCCAAATCAAGAAATCTGAGTCACTACCAATGAATTACTTTAGGAAGAAAAACATTAACTCTAATTGGACAATTCTCTTTCCTCAAAATACACTTTCTTTTTCCTTTCCATGCATATGGCTATATATTCCTTAAATATTATTGAATGTGCCTAATAAAACTTAGTATCTAGAGAAGGCTGTGCAGAGCCAAATGAAAAACATAATTATAATTATTGGAGGTATTAACACCCTCTAATTGACAGGGCTCATTTCTAAAGTTCTTTTTAATCCTATTTAGCCACAACATAAACAACAAAATGAAACACTGTATTTCTACTACCTGCCTTGAGGAGTATTTCATTTTGGTATTTATATGACCTCTAGAAGGTTTTAAAAACATATCTTTTTAGGTCTAGAAATAACCAGGTACTGAAAAAGACGCTTGTAAAGAACCTACTCTTTCCATGGTATTTGACATTATATATTCATATAATTACACATTAAGAAGATGAGGTCCTTGCCCCTAAAAACACCCATATTTTGGTTAAGAAAGAATTTTCAGAGAATGAGGAAACATTTTAAACAGAAGTAAAAACTGACTCATCCCTTTATGGAGTTGTTTTTAAGGGCAAATCATCACTAATTTGTTAAAACGGATCCTACCTACCTCAGAGCACTGTTGTACAGAAAACACTTTATGAAACCTTTGAGCATGATATAAATGTGAGCTAGTACTAAGAGCTACCCAAATAATATCATTCCCCCCAAAAAATGGCGTTCTAAAGAATCTGTGTTTACAAAAACTGAGTGATGCATGAAGAGCTTATGGTACTAGGTACCACACAAAGTATGCTGTCTCAATAATAAACTTTTTCAAAATAGCTGCAAACCATGGAGGTGCACAGATACAATGTATCAACTATGAAACATTTTGATACTATAAAGTAACAATGTTTTATAAATTTTCTGAAACCCATATAAAAGTCTTTGCATCTTTGATACATGTTTTCAATATGTACCAAAGACAATGGGACAATGTAGCACAGTCTCCAACCACCCACTCAAAATCAAAATCGGCTATTACTTACTAGAGATTCTACTTGCATTAAACACAAATGTTTCATGAGCAGCTAAAACAGTTCAATGAATACTATTTGATAGTCTGGCCACCAATGACTTAGATGGGGGGGGAGGGGGGAAAGGAAAAAGCATTGATATAATAGAAAAGTACTAGTTTTAGAATCAGAAGATCTCTGAATCCAATTTTGCCACTTACTAACCATGTGACTTTGGACAAATCATTTCTCTGAGCTTCATTTTCTTCACCTATAAAAAGTGGATAATAATTTTATACAACCTAACTCAAAGGGTTGTGGTATCAAATGAAAGCATACTTGTCAAATGTCATGTAAATTTAGCAAGGTATTATTATCATTACTTTGACATTCCATGATTTCATCAGCATGGGGACTCCCTCCACTGATGCTTATTCTAATCTTCTGGCATCTTAGCAGGTTTTCAGAAGTTGTTATAGTTTTTAAAAAAAAATACCACGTGGTCAGCTCTTCAGTCATAAGCTTAACTGAACTCAGTTAGTCTGGTCTTCCAGCAATAAACATCAATAAATACTAACAAGTCATTCTGCAGGTCTGCACTGCACTCAATAAGTATTTATTAACCATCTATTACATGCCACCACCACCACTCCAAAAAAAGTCACTTCCCTGAAAAAACTGACATTTAATTAGGAGGAAACAGTATGTACACAGATTAGTAAATACAAAGCAATTTCAATGGGTTATAAAGAAATAAGACAAATGAGAGAATCAGGAAAGGCTTCTCACAAAAGGTAGCACTTGAGACGGGAGCTGAGAAGGCTGAGTTCCAAGGCTGAGATGAGAAGGAAGAGCATTCCAGATATAAGGGGCAGCTAAGCCAAAACAAAGAGACAGCAGATGGAACGTTATGTATAGGGAACAGCAAGTAGACTGTAATATAAAGCATATGACAGGAACTGGAGGTATGTGTTGTCAGCTTAGAAAGATATGTAGTATACTATCTGCTCTTTTTTTTCTTTTTTTTCCTTCTATTTTGTTTTGTTTCCTCTTTCTTGCGGTTCCTTCTATTGGTTCTAATTCTTCCTTACAACATTACTAATGTGAAAATATGTTTAATAGGAACGTATATGTGGAGCCTATATCAGACTGCACACCATCTTGGGGGGGAGGAAGGAGGGGGTGAAAAATTTAAAACTCAAAAGTATATGGAAGTGATTGCTGAAAACTAAAAATAAATAATAATTTAAAAAAGAAAGATATGCTGGAGCCAGACTTGGCTTTAAATGGTAAACAAAGTAATGTGTAGTTTACCCAAGAGGTAAGGAGGAGCCACGAAAGCTTCCTGAGCAGGAGAGTGACATGACATATTAATTTTATAATAATTAATTTGGCAAATGTATAGATGATGGACTGGAGAAGAGAGGCTAAATGTAAAGAAATGAATTAGAAAACTACTGAAACAGTCCAGACAAGAGGAGATGAAGGCTTGAGTCTGCCAGAAGTGGCTGTTTGAATAGAGAGAAGGGTATAGATGTGAGATACTGTGGAGGCAGAAATATTGTTGTTGTTTGTCCTTCACTCTCCAAGAGGACAATGACATCAGAAGAGTGAAGTCTTGACTTGCAAGTCAATTGGATTTAAGAAAGGCTGACCTATGCAAAGTCATCAGCCTTACTTTCTCCTCCAGAGTCCAGTGGCTCGATACAGATCAGTATGACTGGAGATGGCCCTGGATGCAGGGGGAGATCTTGGCCTTTTTAAGCTAAGGTATTCAACAGGTTTCAGTAGGACTGAGGCAATGCCCATTAAGTAATTAAGCCTAGGTAAGAAATGAGGGAGAGGTCTCAAAAAATAAAAAAAAAAAAAATCAATCTGGGAGGGAAAGACCCTCAGGGTTTCTGGCCAAAATAGAAGCAACTGCAATTTACATTCACTTTGAGCCAATCAGGGCCCAAACAACAACCAAATGGGGCTTGGCCTGGGACCTAATGTTGGCCAATCAGTGAGAACCAGAGGGATTTAGGTTTAAAGGAATAGTCAAGTAGAAATGACATAATTCGGCAACTGCCAGGTTATGATGGGGGGGGGCAGTGAAAGAATGAATGTTCAGCACTCCTGAGTTGTAAATATGGATCCGACCAGCAGAAATAGGGGAGTTAGAAGGAGGAGTAGGTTTGAAAGTTGGGTGTGTACATTTGAGAGTCATCTGCATAAGGGAGGTGCGCCTGGGAATGCAAGGAGAGGCAGTATGTCTAGAAATGATGTTGAGACTAGAGAATAAATTTAGGAAGGAAGACAAAGAATAACAGGAAGGACAGAAAATTGTGTTTCAGATACAGAAAGTTTTTCTACTCTGATAAAAATCCGTCAGACCATGTACTCTTTTACAAACCCTTCAAGGGTCCACAATCACCTGAATGCCACAGTGAAATATCTGAGCAGGGTTTCAGTATAGCATTATACACTGAAGAAATTAATGAGATTATCAATTCTTTCAAGATTAATGTTCTCTTCCTCCTCAAATTACTTTGTATTCACTTATTTGTACACATTATGCATCCTCCAGTTCCTTGAGAACAAACAGTAAAGTATTAGTTCCTGTATTCCTCCCACCTAGCATATTTCTTTGCAAAGAGCAGGACCTTAATTAAGTTATTGGTGCCTTGGCTCTAGGGTAGTCCATAGAGTGCAAAATGTGGCACTTAGAAGACCTGGAGTAAAACCCTATCTGGGACACACATAAGCTAAAAGACTTTGGGCAAGTCACTTAACTTTCAGGAACTTCAGTTTCCTTATCTCTCAAGTGCAGATAATACCTGTATGGCTAGGCTCAAATGGGGTAGAGTAGGCCAAGTACTTTGTAAACCTTCAAGGGCAAACAAAAAAAATTCAGTTATCATTATTATAGGTGTTCAATATTCAAACTGGACTTTAGCCCTACTTAGCCCCTTTTAAAAAAAAATCAATTATGCCACCAATCTGTTCAAAACACTGTAATACTTCCTAAAAGGGATGGAAATAAGAATTTATATGCAGCCTACTGTGTGCCAGGTGCCTTTTACAAATATCATCTCATTTTATCCTCATAACAACCCTGCAAGGTAGGTATTATTTCCCCCATTTTACAATTGAAGAAACTAAGGCTCAAAGAGGTTAAGTGACTTCCCCAGCGTCATATCGATAGCAAGTGTCTGAGGCTGGATTTGAACTCTGGTGTTCCTTGACTCCAGGCCGAGCACTGCCTCACTGAAAACTTAAAGCAGTAAAATTCTCTATCTTCTTAAACTAGAAGGACTGGATCTTAAAAATAACAGATTGACCTACAGTATTCTTTTTTTTTAATCCATAAAGAAAATACAGATAGTAGAAAATTTTTATTTCAAAACACAATTTTTTTTGTCAATTGATGTGCCTGATCCTTCTAGTGTTAATCTGTTGTCTGAGAACGCATAATTTTTTAGTTATTTTGATAACTATTTCAACACAATTCATTTCCTGTAATCCTACATATTTTATTTACGCATTTTAAAACATCCTGAGGAGTCCACAGGCTTTTCCAGACTGTCAAAGGTTGGGAGTAGAGGAAAAGTTTGTGACACAAAATGGTCTCGAGTCTTTTATTTTACCTAATCCAACCTCCCATTTCACAGAGAAGAACTCTGAAGCCTAGAGGTGAAGTGACTGGCCGATGAATCAACAAGTATTCATTAAGCCCCTACTTCCCACGTGACAGGCACTCTGCTGTGCAAGTGCTAGGCCAGAAGGACAAGGACAGAAAAGAACCCCCAGCTCATGACATAGTTCGAAGAAGCAGAGCAGGCAGATTCAATGCCAGGTATTGTGACGGTTGTGAATCCAGAGCTTCTTCCGCTTCACCACGATGCCCATCCCGCGCCGATGCAGGTGTGTGAGGACCAAGATGCACGGATGACCATTGATGTGTGTGTGCGCGTGGAGGTGCGGAACCCTCCGAAAGCATAAAACTGGTACTTATGGGACCTAACACTGTCACACAACAAAAGCGATGTCACATACTGCACGTTACATACACACCACAATATATTAAACACACTACACACATTACACTATACATGCACACACTCCACATCGTATATACACACTACAACACACTATACACGCACACATTACACAATCACACACACACGCACGCACAAGGATACACATACACTACACAATCACACACACGCATGCACGGACACACGGATGTACATACACATACACATACACACACACACCCATCGTCTGTCCCAGGCATCTACAGGACCCGGACCACCACCACCCATCCCAGGCCCGGCGCTGCCGCGCCCACCCTCGTTGCCCCGCTGCCAGTCCCAGTCCCTTACCAGCCTCCCGGCCACCAGGCAGCCGAACATGGCGGCAGCGGTGGCTCCTCCGCGGAGCGGGAGCGACAAAAGCCCCCGGAGCTTGGCGCAGACGGCGGCGGCAGCTGCAGGGGCCGCCCAGCCCGCGACGCTTTCTGGACGGAAGTTTCCAGAAGGCGCAGCCACCCTTCCAGGCGGCGAGCTACATAGCGATTGAGCAGTCCCGCTGAAGCGGTGTCTGACCTGCAACCTCTGACCTACGCTCGGAGCCCCCGCCCCTCACCCAGCTAGGGCCAAGCGCTTCCGGGGACGGTACGGGGCTCCGCCTGGGTGCCGAAGGAAAAAAAAAGAGAGAAAACACACCCACACTCCCCAATCAAATCCCCACCAACACACAAATGTAAGACTACAAATCCCAGCATGCAGTTTTCACCATATTCCCCGGTGGGCGCGGCGTCGGAGGCAATGCATGCTGGGATTCGTATTCTAGAGAGTGACTTGTACACATAGCCTCGTCTTGAAATCAGACTGCGAGACGTGTTCGTCTTTGTAGTTCGTCTCCTCCTGGAGTTGTTACAGCCGTTTTTGTGAAATGGACTTCTTTGGCTTATGGACGCCTTCTCAAAAGAATGCTTTTAAATGTATAGAAGACGTAAAACTACAAAAGGAAAGTAATTATATTGACAGTTATGAAAAATTTTTTTTAAAAGAAGTTCACGAATTTCAAGTCCAGAACCCGTAATCTAATCCAACGACCTCATTTTATAAGTAGTGAAACTGAGGCTATATAGACAATGATGAAGACGACGACGATGATGAAAATGAAAACAATGATGACAATAATAGTGATAAGAATATTTTGATGAAACTGTTGAAGAGACAGGTGGATTGTATAATGGGATGCGAGCTGGCCCCAAAGCCAGGAGATTCCCTCCTTTGATAAGTGTTGGCTGTGCGACCGGGCAAGTGGCTGAGCAGGGCTGTGCTCTCCTCAGCGCTAAGAGACGAAATTAGAGAGAAGGGGCTGACTTGTATTTTCCAGATCGAGTCCCTTTTCTTATTTTAAATTTTACGGAGTGCTTTACACACAAGAACCCTGAGGAGTAGGTAACAGGTACAACTTCGCTTTGTAACAGTGAGCAAATTCGTGAAGTGTTCTGTATTTTTAAAGCCCTAATTATAACTATGTCATTTCCCCTTTCCCCGAGCCAACCAATTCCAATGGTTCCCTATCACCTGTGGGATCAAATATAAAATCCTCTGTTTAGCGTTCAAAGCCCTTCATAGCTTACCCCCCGTAAACACACACACACACACACACCTTTCCAGGCTTCTTACACCTTACACACATCCCTCTCTCACTTACTTTGCAATCCAATGACGTTGGACTCCTTGATGAACACTTTCCCTACTCTGGGCATTATCACTAACTGACCCACTTGCCTGGATTATTTTCCCCCTTCATCTCTGTTTCCTAGCTTTTCTGGCTTCCTTCAAATTCGAGCTAAAATCCCACCTTCTACAGGAAGGCTTTTCCTATCCTCTTTAATTCTAGTAACTTCCTTCTTTTCATTTTTCCAATTTAGCCCATATAGCTTTTTGGCACATGCTCGCTTGCGTATTGTCTCCCCTATTTAGACTGTGAGTTTCTTTTTTTTTCTTTTTTGGCTAGGCAATGGGGTTAAGTGACTTGCCCAGCCACTCAGCTAGTGTTACCTGTTTGAGGTCGAATTTGAACTCAGGTCCTCCTGAATCCAATCCACTGAGCCATCTAGCTGCCCCTGACTGAGTTTCTTGAGAGCAAGGACTATCTTTTGACCTTTTTTTGTATCTCTCTTGCTTAGCACATGGCTAGCACATAACAGGTGCCTAATAAATGTTTGTCAACTGATTTCTCAATATCCCTAAGCAATTCTCAGACCTTAAGTTTCAAGACTTTCATACTCTTCATTGGAAGAGAGAAGTTTCTCTAACCCAGAGTTCCCTTTACCTGATTTAAAAAAAATCATTTATTCATATAATGGATTAGTTTGCCATTTCCTTCTCCAGGTCATTTTATAGATGAGAAAATTGAGGCAAAAAGAATTAAGTGACTTGAACAGAGTCACACAGTTACTGTCAGAGGCCCAGATTTGAACTCATGTGGATGAATAGTCCTGAGGGTAGCCAAGCACTCTATCCCCTGCCCCACTAGCACCTTGATAAAATCACTTGTCCTGACCCCAAAAAAAATTGAGTTAAGAATGTATAAGCTTTAAGTCAGTCCTTCTCACTTGATATGAAAGGCCTTGGGTACACCCTCAAGAATTCTCTCCTATTTTACATTACTCAGGGTGTTATCATAGTTCCCATTTCAAGCCCATGGTTCACAAAACTTAGAGGAGAAAACATTTATCTATTTATTTATTTTAGAAGACATTTAGATAGGAACCCACAGAAACAACAATTCCTGCCAGAAAACAACCTTTCCCCAAATATGTATGTAGCCTCAGTCACTTACAGGTACCATGTAAATCTCAGCTCCTATTTCCTATTGAGGTTTTCTTGGCATTTTTTCTTACACCTTACTCCCCTCCAAGGCCTTTATGATCCTTGCACAAGGATGGCTTGCATGAGATGCTCCATCTCCCACCTCACAAATTTTCACTGGCTTTTCTCTATGCCTAGAATTCTCTCCTTCCTCCTACTTCTGACTTCCTTCAAGTCCCAACTAAAATCCCTTCTACAAGAAGCCTCTCCTGATCTCTTTATGGCTAGTAGTGCCTTCCTTCTCTTGATTATCTCCAGTGTATCCTGTATATATCTTGTTTCTGCATAGTTGTTTGAATGTTGTCTCTCCCAATAGACTATGAACTTGAGAGTAGGAACTGTTGTTGTTTTTTTTAATTATTGATGTTTGGGTTTTTTGGTTTTGCCTTTCTTTGTATAGTCAACCTTTAGAACAGTGGCTTGAACAAAGTAGGCACTTAAATGCCTATTGACTCTTCATCACCATCTCCTCCATGATTGCTCTGTTCCCTCAGCCCAACTCATGTTGTCTTTAGAATTCTCCATAGTTCCTTCCACATGGTAGCATCATAGCTCAGTTCTCTGAATTCCACCCTATTCTCTTATATATTCTATATTCTCTTTCCTGTTTCTCTAGAGAATTCCCCATTGCTCCCTACAGTCCCCAGCCAAGTGTATCTCAATCTGGTTGATCCTTAAGTGAAGCCTGCCCTCAAAGGAAGGACATATTTCCAAAGATCTCTTGTTTTGATTAGGGATTTTTGTACTCCTTGCATCTAATTCTAATAAAATGCCAAAGTCCCTTTTCTGGGTTTCTCCTTTGAGTGACAATTCTGACATTCTCTGGAGTGTGAAAGTGTGCTAAGTAACAATAATAGTAACAATAATAATCACTAATATTTATATAGTGCTTTAAGGTTTGCAAAAAAAAATTTACAAATATTATCTCATTTTATCTAAGTCATCAGGAATACCATACTTTCCCCCTGAATTGTCTCCCAGATGATTTTTTTGGCCAAATTTCAGGCTTCTTCCTCCCAATCTTACAATATTTCTTGGAGCAGGAGGAAAGATATGGGGAAGCCAAGTACTCTCCAAGCTCAACACTGATGATATCATAAGGGAAGAGAGAAATTTTACAATTCTTTACACATGTTAAAGATCCGACAGAGACAAAGGAGTCCAGAGGTGGGAAAAGAACCTTTAAAATGCTTAAAAACCTTTAAATACTTCTATTAAAAACACTTGAAAGTATAGGTATAAATGGATTTTTCCTTAAACTGATAAAAAGACTTTATCTAAAGCCATCAGTAAGCATTATTTGTAATAGTAACAGGGATTTGTAATAGTAATGAGGATAAGCTAGAAGCCTTCCCAGTAAGATCAAGTGTGAAACACAAATGCCCATTGTCACCAATGTTATTCAATATTGTATTGGAAATCCTAGTAATAGCAGTAAGAGAAAAATAAGAAATAGAAGGAATCAGAATAGGGAATGAGATAATAAAACTATATCTTTTTCCAAGTGATATGATAATATACTTGGAAGTTCCCAAAGATTCAACTAAAAAGTTAGTTGAAATAATTAATAATTTTAGCAAATTAACAGGATATAAAATAAAGCAAATCCACATAAATCATCACGGTTCTTATATACCACAAACAAGTCTCTGCAAGAGATAGTAAAAGATACCCCATTTAAAATAATTCTAGAAAGTATAAAATACCTGGAGTATACCTGTCAAAACAAAACCAGGAACTATTATAGACAAAATTATATAAACAAAAACTTTTTATACAAATAAAATCAGATTTAAATAACTGGAGAAATATTCATTGTTCATAGTTAGGCAGGGCCAATAAAATACAATTTTACCTAAACTAATTTATACATTCAACATTATCCCAATTAAATTGCCAAAAGATTATTTTACTGAATTGGAAAAAAATTATAATAAAATTCATTTGGAAGAACAAAAAGCCAACAATATCAAAGGAACTTCTGAAGAAAAATGTAAAGAAAGGAGGTTTAGCAGTACCAGATCCTAAACTTTATTATAAGGCAATGATTATCACAACTATGTGGTACTGGCTAAGGAATAGAAAGGTAGATCAATAGAACAGAGTAGACATACAATTTACAATAGCAAATAAATATAGTAATCTTGTTTTTGACAAGTGTAAAGACTTAAGATTTGTGGATAAGAATTCATTATTTGGTTAAAATAGTTGGAAAACTGGAAAGCAGTCTGGCAGAAATTGGGCATAGACCATTATCTTACACCATTTACCAAGATAAGGTCAAAATGGACACACGACCCAGATATAAAGACAGATATTACAAGAACATTTGAAGAACATGGAACATATTACTTATCAGACAGATGGATAGACAAACAATTTATGATTAAACAAGAGATAGAGATCATTGTGAGGTGTAAAATGGATGATTTTGATTACATAAATAAAACAAATGTAGCCAAGATCAGAAGGAAAGCAGTGAGTTTGATTTTAATTCATAGGAAAATTCTACATTCTCTTATTAAGGGGGGAGGTTTGTTAGCATCTAGAAAAGGAAATTTTGATCACTAAGAACCAGCATGACTTTAAAAAATCATGCCAGAATAACCTCTTTTTTTGGCAGTTATTAGACTGGTAGATCAGAGGAAAACTTTAATAACATAGCATACCTAAAACCCCAACCTCCTTAACTTTCTTGACATTGTTGACCCACCCCTGCTTGATATTCAATTCTCCTCTGGTTCCTATGTTAAAACATTTTAATGGCTCTTCCAACACTCAGTCGACTTCTTTGTCCCATTCAGTGGCTCCTCATCTCTCTTTCAGCCCTTAAAAGTGGGCCT